CATACAATTTTTCCTAACATTTACCTTTTTTTCATCAGTCTTTTATTCTGAGAAACTTCAGCTACAGAGCTTCTTTTTCGGACAAAAGTGGGCAATTTAAATCATTTTAATTCATTTACTTTTTTATTTGTCGATTAATCTATAATTTTTTTTGTTTTAATGTTTGTTTATTTTTCCTTTAAATTTGTCATTTGTTGCATGACTTTGTTTACGTTCAATTTTTGATAACAATTTTTTTTTTTGACAAGGGTATTGTTGGACAAAATGGCATCACCACTAGAAAAATTTTGCTATAACTTCCAAGATCTAAAAGATCCTGTCTGTTGCAGTGAGCCTCAGTTAACTTGATTAATTTCTTAAGCTTCAAATTTATATAATACTTATTCTGTAAGAAATTTGTATAAATTAAAAACAGATTTATTTGAAGCATTAATATTTCCCAGCTTAATTTAATCCAATGTTGTGCAATTCAATGAAAAAAAACCTTGTGTTTTATAGTACCAATCATGCCATATTTTTTTTTACAGAATAAAAAAAATTGAAAAATATGTCAATTCATCAGATTATAAATTGCCCTACGCAAATTGCAAACCAAAGGAGCTCTTCAAGGATGAAATATTTGCCAACCGTTTTGAGACTGAACTGTTGAGCAACATTAATTATATCGCGAATTTCCCTGCAGCATCTTAATCAAATTGCCTATATTGAGAGAACCCACAGTGAACTTTGGCATTCATTAACAAACCAACTGGAGAGTAAATAAATAATCATTAACAATTTCCCAGTTTTCTGCTCGAGGAAATATTAATTTGCTTTCTCTTATTCGGTTTGCGCGAAATGAACTCTCATTATACACATAGAGTCTCTGCAAACAGGGACCGCAGCAATAACGGGAGGCGAAACCATCGTGCGGATAAATAAATATCGCAGCTATAGCAGCCAGGAAATTCCAGCATGGCCGCGCATTCATTACACTCGCTGGCATTATTTGAGCCGCAAATTGTCTGCATTCTTACATGATGTTTTCCTATATTACCGTGTAACATGGTAACATACATACATACACGAGCCGGCGGGTCCCGTTTTTGTGTACATAAATAAGCAAAACAGCGGCGAAAACAACAATTGCACGAAGCCGACTTTGATAAATCGTCTCGCGTGTGCATTTGCATTTATTTTCTCTGGCGCGCTCCGACGCCTATGGATGGTGCAATAATATAAGCCCTGTGATGCGGACGCAATATTGTCACACGTTTTATTCCCACGTAATTAATAACGGCGACAGACACACAGCGACAGACATTCACCCGCATATCCTCTCTACATCTGCGCGCATAACAAAACACGTAGAGCAACAGCGGCGCAGCCCCGATTTGTGCTGCATATTTGCATGTGAACTTATTTGGGAGTAATCGGTTGGAAATATCTGTGGGGGTTACCCCTTTCCTGTCAGATATATTATATCATTGATAATTTCTTGCACCTTGTTTACAATTTTATTTAACATAGTTAAAATAAAACTTTTATTTATAGTCGTATTTAAATAATTTTAAATCATGATTTTTTTCAATTTACTCCATTAAACATAATATAAAATTATTTGTTTTTATAAAACACTATCTGCATCATAATTTAATTGGTTGAATACAATGTGTCTATGCAATTTATGTCAATACACTGCGTAAATTTTTATTTTAAGTTTCCGTCCCCCCTCTAACTGAGTCAGTTGAATTTAGGGAATGCTCTCAGTTTTCCTTTGTTTTTTTTATTGACGTAATTTTGTTATTATTGTAATATCTATTAGTGCAAAGGGTAAAATTAATATTTGTAATATCATAAGAAAATATTTCAAAACAGCATGTATGCACGGTAAAGTTACTATAAAATAAAAATCCAACAATAAAAAATGTGAACAATCTTATTATAATTGAAAAAATTCAATATAGAAAAAAATATTTTAATGAAAATACAGATTCGCAAGTAAAAAGTGGAATTTATTGCGACCTCAAATATAATTATTTCCAATCAAATTAAAAGAAAACATCATAATAACGTGAAAGGTGACGTCACCATTTGAACAAGTTTTCCTTTCAAGCTTCAAATGCAGGGATTTTGCGGCCGTTGCCGGCACGATTCTGCTGGCCTTGATCCGCTGCGAAAGGGTTGTTGAAGGACGCTATTGAAAAGTGGTCCACATCATATGTCATCAACACTCGAGCGAAAATCAGTCACTCTCACTCTCTCGGCCAGCGCAACGAGAGCAGGGCCTTTTCAAATAAGAAAAAACTTTCGGTCAGAACAAAGCGCGCTCGGTGCGTGTTCAAATCGGGAAATGTCATGTTGGCAGATGGCACGCGCTCGCCGTGATTTAATCGCTCGGCACGATAATTAATGCGACTCTGACATGACTATAAACTACTAATGCGGCTAAGTAAGAAGGGGAATTCGACGGCTGCCATTATGCAAATGTGCGCGTGCACTTTCGCCCGCACGCATGTGTGCCATTCTCTTCTCCCCATAGCGAGTGCCGCGCCGCGATAATGGCAAAAACAATATTTGCTGCCAACCAGATCTTGATAATAACTTTAATCTTCCTGTGTGAAAAGATTTTCAAACGAACTGCTTGCACATGTGGCGTGCAGCAGCGAGATTGAATTTAGTGTCGGAGCCAAGATGGCTTTGGGAATTAATTAATTTGCCCCTCGCCCTTCGCCGGCGCACTAAACCTGTCTTCATTAATGCGCCACTACCGCTGAAATTATCTCTCTCGGTGTTTATTTATTTATGCAGCGCGCGACGAGACAGTTTGTAATAGGGCTTCCTTGAAAGGGTGTGTGCTCGCGACCAATTTGACTCCAACCGCGATGATTCACCATCATTTCTCCAAATGATTCCTCAAGTCGCCTTTCCCGGGAAAAATCCCCCTTATAAAGTTATAGTGGGACTCGTCAGATTCATTTTAATTATTAATGTTGAGTATAAAAATCTTTTTCCTTCTCTCTGCTTTTTTATAACATACAAAAACGAGATATGCAAGAGAGTGTAATTAAAATGGAACGAATGGGAATATTAGATATTTTCTGTAATTATATTTTGCTGCGAGCGCAGTTGGCGAGAGAGGCTGTGGGAATAATGAGAGCGAGGCATGGCGAGAGAGACCTGTGTGTAACAACTGCAACACTCGTTGTGCGCCTCATCCAGCTTAAACGAGTTACAAAAATGAATGCAAATAAGGGCGAAACACTTCTAATTAAAACGTTGCAACGAACGTGTATTTAACTTTTAGAAGCTGCTCATTCAATGGGACTGGAAACTATTTTTATACACATTAATAAATAAAAGTATTTTTTTTTAATTCCCCAGAGTTTCTGTTTAAACCTGATGAATTATTGGAGAACACAGGAAAATTTATAAAGGATAATTTTAAATTATTTCTAATCTAGTTACATTTTTAATCAGAAAAAATTTATTGTTTTCTATTAGCTGTAATTTAAGTAATCCTTACAAAAATAATAAAAGTATTATTTTTGTTCTACTTCTTTCATAAAATCTTTTTATACATTAACACAAGTATATAAAATTCTTATTTTACTAATTTTATCTTTATCTGCATTTTTGTGTGATTCTTTGAAAGAGAATACCAAGGATTAATTGACTTGATCTATTCTATTATAACTAAAAAATTCACTAAACTACCATTATTTAGTTTCAGATCATCAAATGAATATTATTGAATTCTGGGCTACTTACTAACCAATTATAGATTTTTCGAATCTCATTTTTGATGATAATAGTTTTTCACTGCATCAATACTTGGCCTACAGTTTCAACGTCACCGATTCTTAAAATATGCGTGTGGCTTATGGAACTGCACAACCCATTTCAATTTGACCCAGAGAGCGGGCGAACGCCCTCGGCTTGGTTCATTTGGCTTGCAAATTTATTCCGTCCGAAAGTGCGTCAATATTGATCCCGCGGCCAAATGAATGCAAACAATTAAACGAGCGGTAAACCAGAAACAAGAGAAGCTTCTTTTTCTCCGGCTGGCTTTCGCTACCGACTCTCCTTGAAATCCCGGTCTTACAAATGAATTGCTCTCTGCAAAATGAATGTAAAGAATGGGAAACACGCCTCATTGAAATTATAAACTACATTTGCATTTTCATCTCGGCGCTGCCCTCTCGACAAAGTCTTGCGAGAGAGGAAGAATCTCTGAGGACGGGTGGGTGCTTCTCGAGCACCATGCGGAAAGACAGACAGAGTAAATTGGAAAATGCAAATAAAGAATTTGCATGGCCTGAGACACGCTTCTGTGCGAGAAAGAGAGAGAGAGAGAGTTCTTACTCATTCTGCCACTTTTCATATTTCTCTCGCTGCTTCTCGTCGCCTCTCATTTCAATAATTGACACTTTCCCTGCAATTTAACGGCCGTCACGAAAAATCCAGAGGAACCGGGCCAGCATCCCATGCTTGATGGATTTAATTAAATTTGCATGCTTTAAATTTCAACCTTTCCGCCTCACCGACACTCCTCTTGCAGCTGACTATCAACGCCCTGGATAATTTTCCCTTTCAGTGGCGAGCGTGATGGAAAAAAATTTGCTCATGTAAGGAAGTGTATTGCAGATTTTCTCGGCATTAGAGCAATAAAAGCGCGCAGTTTTGACGCCGTTGAACGAACGAAAAAGAGAAGAAAGCCGAGAGTATCATTAAAGCTTAAAAGTCTGCACTGAACGAGCGAAAAAGGCAGCGCTGGTGAAGGAGTAAAGGAACGAACGCCGCTTTTGGATCGTACAAAGAACATATGAAAAAATCGTGATCAGAGGGTGCATTGTTATTTTTTTTTCTTCCCAACTTCTTTTAATAATACATGTAAGAAAATCTCGGGGTACGAATAGTTTCCCGTGTGTATTTAAGTGGAATGTAGAGACACGGAACCGTTTTGTTATTGATTGGCGCCCCCCTTGCGTGTGTGTAATTATGGCTTTTCTCTGTTTCAGCGGCGGGTGAGGACCTGACTGACTGACTGCTCGGCCTCACTCAACTCTCGGGCTTTTTCAGAGGTGAGTGAGTGTGTGTAAATTCGTCGGCCGCGCCGCTTTGCGCATGAGAGCCTCGTTTCGGGGAAAAGGTCACGTCTGATTAGATCGGTTTCAAAAAACCGCATTTTTCACAAAAGCGAGAGAACGCGCTGATATTTTTGCGGTTTCTCCACTGCTGCTTTTTTTAATGTTCGGGCGGGTTCAAAACTGCGGGACAAACACAAGCAAAGAGCCGGAAAGTTTTTGTTTGACGTGGCACACTCTTTACAACCCTTTTGGTACGCAACTCGAGTAACTCCCGAAATGGCCAATAACTTTTGATCCAACTTTCAGGTGCTTGTTTAATCGGGGTGCAAACGTGTAAAACGTCCGGTGAGCACTTGGTCGCCGGATAGAGTTAGCAAAAGTTCACGGTTGTCAAGGGGTTTGCATAGCAATCGAGAAACTCGCTGGTTCATATATTTACATTGTCCCAACTGAGAAACTAAATATAAAAATGACAAAAAATTTCTGATATATAGATGAAAGATGTTAATATAAATCAATGTAAATTGAATAAAAAAATCAGCTCAAAAATCATCTTTAACAGATTTAATTAGATTGAATTAATTTTCAATTAGAATCTTTTTATGAGAAATAATAAAAATTTAATTTAAAACCAGAATTAGAATAAATCAGACCAATTAAGCAAGCGACTGAAGTCATTAAATTTAATTTTGCTTCATAGTATTGTTCAGTGAAGCCTTTTACCATAAATAATCCTAGGAAATCAATTTGCTTGTAAGCAGCTTTACACCATTTTGTTCTTTTGCATTTATATCGTTTATGAAAAATGCCTTTCTCCGGTATTCAGCGCGAACAAAGTTCTTTCTTTCTTTATTTTTCTCTTCTCCGCCTCTCTCCGGCACGAAGAGGAAGTCTTAGGAGTTTCCTCCTGACGGCACAAGCGGGCATCGATTGCCGATTTCCACGAAAGAACAAGGAGCCAGAACTGCTGGTGGCGCGCATAAGTTATCGCGGCCGGAGTCAACAAGGCCAGAGAGAATCTGCACGCGGCGGCTGCATCGCCCAGGAGGGAATTCTGGCCGTTCGTATAGGTAAACGCCTGGCACCCACCGCATTTCGCGAGAGCTCGGCAGAACCTCGACGAGCATTGTTTTGGTTATCGGATCGCTTGCAGGGCGCTCACTCGCTCCAGAGACATGCTTTCTCCATTAAAGGGCGCAATCGGGCACACGTGGAGCCTTTCCCACGTGCCACCTCTCGCGATAATTACACTCGCTGCCAGTCAGTTTGCAGTATTTTCGGGCCGTTTTCATCTTTTTGCACCCCATCAGATTATTATTATTTCCACCGACGCGCGGAATTGCGGCGGAAATGAGAGAATTTCCCATTCGACGACGCGCACAGCACCCCGGTTTTGTTAATAATGAATTGATGGGAAAACTTTCTTTTTTTCCGATTGAATCCGAAGGTGAGGAATGCTTCCGCTGTCACAACCAGCCAACTCCAATCAACTGGAAATTACCGTGAAAAGAAAGTGGTTAGCAGCAGCTAGTAGGAAAAATATACTAAGCCGGGTTTTCGCGGCGGCACCTTTTCCGGAGCACAATTATTTAGGAAAAAGGGCACACGCGCGGTATGAAATATTCATGGCCCTCTCGGAGGTAGAGAGAGCGCCGCCGCTCTATGTACCTTTTAAAACACATTGTCAACCTTCCTCTCTTTCTGCCTTTGTCTCTGCTTGCTTGCCGGTATCCAAATAGTAATTTAAAGCAGCTGAGCACACACGCGCGCGCACCGGCACGCTCGGTTGGTGCGTACCTCGTTCTGGTGTCTCCTCTATTGCAGCCGACGGTGCTCGCTCGCTCTCTGTGCCTTCAGACAGGTGCAAACAAACCTTCCCGCTCTTTATTGGAACACCGCGTGAAATTAAATTGTGGTGCGCACACGATGTTGAATTCTTTGTCTTTTCCACTTAAATGCCGCTCCGGGGTCAGAGAGCAGTGTGCCAATTTTAGCAGAGCCTGTCTGCGGTGAAATAAGAGCTCTCTCGAGACGCCAGACAGAGTCGATGCCTTTGAAATTTGTGAACTTTTTAGCATTGCTAATTTTGTGATTAATGTTCCAAGTTTTTTTATAATACATTTATAATACATGTTAAATTATATTTAAATAATGAACACATAATTTACTGAAATATAAAATTTAAATTTAATATTTATTATCATAGACGATTTAAAATTTTATTTAAGGTTTCTTTTTTTTATGCATTAAACATAATTTCATAAATTTCTTATTTAAATTTCGTTATGTACAGAATGCTTTGAAAAAGAATAGAAGATTATAAACAAATAATAATTTTTCCTCAATTTATAGTGGCTTTGCAATAGCGTTCTCTAAAATGCAAACAGTAACGTAAAATTATTTAAAATGAAAACTTTCTTGATAGATATCCTAAGATAAGTTTGAATGTGGTATAGATTGATTGATTAAATTTAAGATTACTCATACATTGAATGATGAAGATTTACCAAACATTATTCAAATGCAGTTTCCTGATTTTTTTTTTAATAAACTTCATACTTAATATTAGTTATCATTTACAGTATCATAGGTTGCTTTGCTTAAAAAAAAGGGAGAAATTTTTTTTATTTTTTGCTTAAGGATGAGAGAAACGTTAAGCAATTTGCCACAAGTCGTGTTCCTTACGCATTGACAAATGCAGCCTGCAGCCAGTTTTTTCCTCGGCCAAGCGTTAATCGCACCCCCTGTCACAAAGTGACGGCGCTAATAGTTTTTGCAGTCGGAATGCGGGAGCAGCCGTTCGAAATCCTCGCGCGCGAGCGCCAATTCCGCACCCACATGACAATGAAAAGGGTCACCGAAGCAAAATTATTTGCTGCCACGCCGAGGCAAAAAGCAGCCGATCCAATTAGGGGGCCGATTGAAATTTGGCCGATAAAAGGACGAGCATTTGACCCGTGTTGCCTTTTCCAAAATCAATCATCAACAACACAAAGCCCTTTGAGCGCGGCGACGTGCGCGCCGTAATTCAATATTGCGTGTACGGCCCGGTGCAACAATGGACCAAGAGCGCGAGGCGCGATGATTAGAGGGAGCAGCAAAAAGCGGCCACCTTTTCATTACGCGATGATTGGCCGGCCGGCTGGAAACTGGAGACTCGTCGGCGACCCGACACCGTCCGCGGGGCTTTCGAACCTCTGGCTGACTCGCCGCGCTGCGGTCAGGCCGAACCAACGGCCAGACGCTCCACTTCGCAAAGCCGCAGTTCAGCCTTGTCATTCGAACTTAGCCCTTTTTGTGTGTGTATGTGTTGTACGCTTTTTCCTGAGGCCTCCAGAAACATCTGCTCCGACTCTCAGATTGGCCAATTTGCGAAGCGATCAGCACCGAGCGAATAATTCCGTGAATTCCGCGCGGAAAATCGTTTGTTCTTTTTATTAAAAGAGGGAATTTGCTGAAGAGGAATGAAATCGTTCAATTTTGCATGCGAATATATATAAAAAAAGAAAAGAGGATTTGAAGAACGAAAAAGGGGATTGTGTAACTTTTGAAACTTGTTCAATATGTTTGCCCAAGTCTGCCAATTACTGAAGTTTGCCGAGCCATTGGAGGAATTCGCCTTCAGCAGCGAACCGTCCGAGCATTTAAGAGGGAAATTATTGAGTTGTTTGGTCTTTTTGGGTGCAACAGAAGCCCTACGGCGAACGAGCTAGCGCCCTGCTGGCCTCTCAAATATCTATCTGCTGCAATCTTAGACCTTATGATAACCTCTGTCTGTGCACGGAGCTTGCGGGGCTTCTCCTTGCCCCAGCTATGTATTTATTGCGCGCAAAGAGCGAGCAGCGGCTGCCGTTCTTTATCACAACGCCATTATCGAGTGCGTAATAAATAAAGGGTGATGATACGCCCGCCACCCATCCAGTCGGTCGCGCGAAAATATGACGAGCGAGGGGCTGGCACAAAAAATGAAAATAAAGAAAAAAATGTGAGCGAGCGAGCGAGCAGGAGGGTCGGAAAGTTTAAAATATTTATATGCACATCCGAATGAAAGCGAGAAAAGGGATGAAATAAAACTTTTTAAATTGAATCAAGGGCTCGCTGACTTTTATCTCCCGCCCTTTTTGAAATGCATTTTGCAATTTTCTCCGGCCGGAAAATCGGGCGTGCTGCGGAAAATTTGTAGCCCGGGGCGTTTCCGCCAGCTTGCTAGCGAGTGCAGACAACTGCCAAGAATAGACTATAGCTGCAGCCGACGCTGGTCGGTAATGAGTTTTCTCATTATTATCCTCGTCGCTCCACCTTGAACTGCGAAAGTCTTTGAATATCTCCGAAGCACCCTTCTCATCCCTCTCGCCGCCGCCGTTAATGCAGGAGCAAACTTTCGTCAAAATGCCTTTGCTGGTACAATTCCTGCACGAGATAATTATCCTCTCTCTTTGTTATTTTAGTATATTCTAGATTGTACAGAAGAGCTAGAGAGAGATGCTGCTTGTTCGTGTGTCATCAGATATTCATTAACTTTTTTACGGTATGTATAATGCACGACGGGCAGTGTTGTGTTTCAAACTAAATCTGATCTGATTTGACTCGATAATGATCGTGAAAAATGACACCGACTTTCCAAGGCCTCTCTGCTGCTCGTCTATTCCAAAAAGAGCAGGAAACCCTCAAAAGTTTCTCTGCGGACCGATCTCATGAGTAATTAAGTTTAATTACAGAGAGGCCCGCGTTTTGATCAGGTTATTTAAATTCCATTTCAAGCCTAAGTGTTTATGTGCGCGTTCACGTTGTCTGCTTAATGGTGATTGATGCACGAGTTTCGTGCGGTCCACTTTGTCTTTGGCCGGCGCGCCGAAACTTTATAATAATATTTGGCCAACTTTGAGAGCGCATTTAGAAAATTTGGGCACCGTCATTAACCATTCAAAAAGCATTCCCTCTCTTTCCAAATTATGCCGTCCGTCAGAGTAAGCCAAGCGCAAATATTGCTGTGT